CCTGACCCCCCTACCCTCTCCCCCACCCATTACCCCACCCCCTCCGTCTGCCTGACCCCTACCCTCTCCCTCACCTCCTCACCTACCCCTTGCTTCACCCCATTCCTTTCCATATCAAAAGTATCCTTCCTGTCATCCCCCCCCTCTCAAAATGGGACAACTCAAAGCCGAATCTCAATTTCTTTTTCTCCTCCTCACTGTCGCCTCGCCTCAGTGACATGCAAACCTTTGAGGAATGCTTCAGCTTCTCCTGTCCCCGCTTCTTGTCACCGGTCCCGCCCAACTACGACATCGCACAGGGGAACTTCCACCGCGAGCCCTTCTCCCTGCAGATGAAGGTGTTCCGGGAGGAGATCCAGCAGCAGCTGGCCATACCCACCATCAGAAGGTACGTGCTCTCTCCACCATCCGTGTTGCTTGACCCTGAAGGTCTATTTACACAGTCGATCAACAACAGACAGCGGCGTCAGAAGGCGGCGTGCTGTGCAATATTGTACACACCAGAACAAGGTGGACGCCATGTGCTAAGCATTATGCTGTTGATTTTCCACACTAACAATTGCGCCCAATGTGAATTGAAGGCTTAAAACCAGGAAGCTCTGAGGGTTCTTCTTACCATGACCTTGACAATCCGTGGCCTTTTTTCTGTCCAGTTTCCTGAAGCTGTATACCACAATGCCCATCTCCAAGCTTGCTGCCTTCCTGGAAATGGTGAGATTGCCAACTCTCCGCTTTTCATCTTTACATGTTTAAGAATCGTCTGAATTCAGAGGCCCTAGCTTGCGTCTTTTGCAATTTGTCAAATTCCAAATTCCCACAAACTTTCCCTTTGAAACCAACAGATTGTATGAACGGTTTTGGTGTTTCCATTTTTGTTTGCAGTCTGAGGAAGACTTCCGAACCCATCTGCTGTGCTTCAAGGTAAATGTCCCTAGTCAACACTGGGCAAAATCGACACCAATATATCAGCTGTGTTGTTTTTCGACGAAATGGGCACAAAACCGAAATTTTGGCATTGGGCATACATACTAGGACTTGTCCACCGGAGTAATGTTGACCAAGTGTCCATCAAAGTCTTGTTTGACATTTTCCATCTGTTCACATGCGCTTACTGCACACATCGTTTGACACTTGCTGCTCTGTGGTTGGTTTCCTGCAGCACAAGATGAAGAACCTGGTGTGGACCAAGGGAACCAGTGGTCTGGCCGGCGATTTCCAGTCGGCGTCAGAGGTTGACTTCTACATTGATCAGGTTGGTTAATACCCAGTGATCAAATGATTTGTTAGAAGGCCTGCCAACTTCACGGTCTTGCGCTGTAGTGTTTTTGCTTGTAATCTGTTCCTTCTTAACCCCTTCTCCACGGATTACTGCTACTACCGCACCGCTGTGTGAGGATTAGTGCATACCACACATACAGTCTATTCANTCAAAGTAATCCCGCCTTGAAGGGGTTAAAGCAAAAGAACTCTGCCGGTTCATTGTTAAACACCGAAGCTCACGTCATGGTTTTTCTACGTGTCCAGTTTTGACCTCTGTAGAATGTTGTAGCAGAGATTTGTTAACAACCTAAATCCTAAGTGATTGAGAAAAGTAGAGCCAACTGCTATTGTAACCTTGACTCCCTTAACCCTAACCCCCTAGGGACCATTGAAATCCTGCATAACCTTGTTGGGTTCAGTATGGTTAGGGTTAAGGGTGTGAAAAATATTGAAATGGTTGATATTAAATAGAAAGAAATGGCTGTGTGCTTAACCACTTCATGCCGGGGCATTTTTCAATGTTGATGATGCTGGGCCGGCATGACTATCATTTTTTCCGTTTTCAAAATCCTTCAAAAATTCATCATTTCATTCAACGGTCGTTTATAGCCGCACCAAGTAATCTTTAGGCACTACTGTAAGTTGACAGGTGGCCTTCTTTGATGCCTGAGTATTTCAGCCACGCCAGCAGCCTTGTAAACAGAGCCCAGATTGTGCGGTGTTGTATAACTGTCTTTTGTTCACGAACCTGGCTCAGTGCACTGCTGACCTCTTTTCAATAGGGGCCACATTAACGTGCAGCGGTGCTGTGTGGCTCATCCCTGCGGTGGTGGAGCGCTTTTGTCCCCGGTGGTAATCCGCTCGCTCTCAATGCCCCAAAGCCTGGTATAGGGTTTCAAAACAAGGCTGGATTATCACCACTTTTGAGAGTGAAAAATGCCGGTAATGCCCAGCAGCCTGGTCTTTTGTTCAGAGCACGGTCTTTTGTTACAGGGCCCTGTTTCCTTTGTCTGAGTTCGGACACCCCGGCCACCCATATAAACCATACGTCTCCGATCCCGGAGTCCCCGGCAGGAAGTGGTTAAAGTACGGTGTTAGGTTTTAATCTGAGGTTTTGAAAGAAAAATTCCTGAAGATTTCAGGTTTCTTTTCAACAGCCATGTAGTTAATTTGTTCTTGCAGAATTCTCAAGCAAACTTTTTTACGTTCATTGCACACTGATTTCCACAGGACATGATTCACATTGCGGACACCAAGGTAGCTCGTCGCTATGGCGATTTCTTCATCCGCCAGATACACAAATTTGACGAGGTGGGTGACAAATGAGATTTAGGAAAAGAAAGTTGTTCGGAATATGGCCATCTAATTTTGGCACTTTTGATGAGCTGCTTTATTAGTCTTTGAATGCTTTGCTGGCCTTTACCCAGTGTAACGAAGCCGACACAGAGAAAAAAAAACGGTGCTTGGAAAAATTTATGTGCTGAGCAAAGATAGCTGTGAACCAGTCACAAGATGTATAAAACCATGGCATTTAGCTGGTAACCTCTGTTTGGTGAGGACATTTTTCTCTAAGCCCGCTTGATGCAATATACACAAAAAATTTTACTTAGATAAATCTAGTTGTGATTAATCATGAAAATAAGTTCTGTTTGAAAGTAATGCAGTGTTCATATTCCTTGCTTGTGGCTAACAATAACATACGCGTCTATGATAGAGATGTAGCCACTACCACAGCGGCTGCCCTAGGTGCTTATACATTTTCCAGTTATAGCCTAGAAACTTGGACATAGCCTGAGCTTTCTGCAAATAACCGAGTTTGATTTCGTTCAAAAGAATAAAGTGGTATAAATGTTTCTCTCCTCTGTTGACAGTTCAACCGCTCTCTGAAGAAGCCGGTGGGACCTTGATCATGCCAGACACGAAGCCTTGGTCGTCATTTCCTGCAACCAACATAAGGTCACTACAAACTTACTGAAGCAATCGTGTATTTATTTCTACCATTTTACGAGTTCTTATCTCAACAACACAGCTTTCTGGCATCAGTCTCCAGATGTGTAACTAGGGGGGGGTTGCATAATTTTGTGCTCATTCAGTCGCAATCTGCGTGGCCCTTTATGTAACAGTCAAATATGAAACTACACAATTGCCTTCAGGGTGTTCAGCGACCAGTTTGTTTGGAACTCTCTGTGTGTATCTGCACTGCATTTAATGATCATTCTCAGTGTATCCAACCTGTCGGATGGACCAGTCAAAGCTAGCCTCCACAAATAACTTCGCTCATGGCCAGTTTTTCAAGTTGGCAAGATTGTCAGCCATTTAAAAATCGTCGGGAGCTTTGGTGAAGAAAAACTCACATAAATGAAACTTGCGCATTGGTTGTCCATTTTGAACCGGTAAATAAAGAGTTGTACATGTATGTCATGAACTTTTAGCCTCCCCATTTTAGTTGTGTTTAGTTCTTGACTCAGATGGGTAGTGTCTCCTGGTCGAAAACAAGCTCTCTTCATTTTACTAGCGACAGAATGCACCCCTTTATAGTTCTTTTGAGCCAAACTTGAAATCATATTTTGGTTATGTGACAGACACTTCAGTCACGTTGCTATGCCCAAACCTGCAAACTTCAAATCATATTTTTGGATGTATTAATTTTTCTCTTTTGCCACTAGAGACGGTGACCATTAAAGTTTTGAGTGATGTGACCTCATATTTTCTACTTCTGTATGTTTGATTTGTTTTCAGTTCCATGTTTGTTCTTTTCTCTGGCCCCTCCATCCCAAGTCTTTTCTCGGACATTGCTTTCGTGAAGATTAAGTTCTGTTCATCTTATTTGTTATGAACTGAGGTAGCATGAAACTTGCTTCTGCCACCCAGTTTGCCCCCAACTGTTACTTTTTATTTTGAAAAATTACAGTTTGAAAAATTGTTCATTTTATCCTGTCGTAATTATTTTAGAGGGCAGTATGTAAGAAGATATTTAATAACCCCCCATAAAAGCCTGTGACACGGTAGTCACCGCCCTCCCATTTCTTCATTGGGTTACTTTGGCATACTTATCAATAAATATAGGGCAGTATTTAACGTGTGCGAGTCTGTGGTGACATGGTACATTTGTCTCAAATACCTTTGTCAGTTGTCGCCAATTTATCTCATCCTTGGCAACTTTCTTTGGACGAGAGAGATTCATAAATTTTTCCATGTTATATTGCTCTCAAAAAATCGAGTTGCGCCCGGCCCAGTCAGTGTTGGTTCACGACTGATCAAGAGGGGGCGCTGTTTCAAAGGAACGGTGGTTGTGCGAAATTCGTCGGCGTCGCGTCTTGTTACGACAAATTTATTTCTCGATTAGGCCTATACGGTCGTCATTAACAAGTTTTGGAGGTAGGTATTCGGATGTAGATTTGTGTATTTTGTGAAATTACGTGGTTTTTTTTTTAAGAATTGGCCAGACTAGCCTTCTCTGTTGGGAGTTAGCCTAAATAAGTTAATGCAACATGTAGTCCAGTTTCCGGACATGCCGGACTTGTGTGTTCATGGTGGTGTACATGTACGTTACTGTAGTGTAGGGCTTAGCCTAGACTTACCGGTAGCCTAGGGGTCCAGACAACTAGATTGTTTGCCAACTCGACTTCGGACAACTCGACCGTTGAGACAACTCAACCGTCCGTGCGTAAAAGGGAGAGAAAAGTCGACTGTTGAGACAAGTCATCCGTTGGGACTGTCCGCTCAGCCCAGTCGTCTACTGAGGCCATGGTGTAAAATAATATACATGTATACCTTAATGATGGGATGGAATTTCATGTAGTAGATGGACAAGCTTAATTTCTGAGGTATTTATAAAAATGGTGGCTGTAGTAAGTCAATCTTTGAACAGTCAACCGATCTTGCACCCACACTGTACGTATATGCCTGTATGCATTACAGTCATTTTCCTAGTTCTGGATTACTTGAAATAAAAAAACCTACCTCTTTGGTGTTGTCCTTTAGTTCTGCATTCTCAGACAGGTTCTGGTTTAAAAGTGAAATGTAAACAATGTGAAATGTTGAACTAAACTTGCTCTCGGAAAATCTTGGCCAGATTTCCGATTCACACTTTGACATTTTGGAATAGTCTATGGAGATGTATGTCACACACTGCAAGTGATCCCAAATCCTTTTCTTCGAACTCAACAGTCATATGAACTTGTGCATCTAATGTCTGTTAATCAAAATGACTTTCAAAGGTACATGTACGTTTTATTAAAACTGGCAGAAAACTGAACGCATATTGTTTCCTAGTTTTGGATCACGCATTAAGTGCATGTACGCAATATACTTCGCAAACTCATCTTCTAATATGGAGTTATGGACATCCCAGAAATGTACGTGACGTAATGGGTTTGTCAACTATGCGGCACAAAGTAGTATTGTTGATGGCTCGCACTTTGCAGCTGAAAAAGTTGAGTCGAAATTTACACAAGATCCAATTTTGTTTTTTTATTCATTGGAATTCTTATTAATGAACCAAGTTTTTCTAAACTGAGAAATTTCTCATGAGGAAATAAGCTTTTTACAAAGGTTCTGGCTGAAAGTAGATTTGCCGCTCGCATGGTTACTTTCTGGAAACCGATCCAGAGTGAGAAAAAATGAGTGTCATGTCCCACTGTCATCGATCCTGTATGTCCAAATTAAAAGTTTAAAATTTGAAACGGATTTGGTGGTAATCGTGGTATCTCTATCACACAAGGTGGACGGTGACCACATTTCACTGGAATTTGAGGATTTTTATAGAGCTGCAATCTGATTGAATAATGTCCCGATCTTGAACTGGGAAAATGTGATGACTGTATTGTGTGGAGAGATCTTACTTGTCGAGTTGTCTCTTTGTCAAAGTCGAGTTGTCCTAACAGATGACTTGGCAAATGGTCAAGTAGTCTCAATGGTCGAGTTGTCCGAAGTCGATTTGGCAAATGGTCGAGTTGTCCGACATCTGCCTAGAGTACGGGCACTCTTCCTTTTGTATTCGCAAGCCTAGGCTAAGGAAATGGGTCAAGTCATCCTCCAGTTAAGTTGTCCCTCCAAATTGAAACCCTGGTCATGTAGTTAGGCCTACCCCTGTAGGATCCGACGTCCGCCCTGCTCCCTCATGGGAGTGGGGCGGACGTCAGACCCCACAGTTCTGGGGGTACCCTTGAGTCAAGTTGTCCCTCCGAATTGAAACCCTAGTCATGTAGTTAGGCCTACCCCTGTGGGATCCGACATCCGCCCTGCTCCTTAATGGGAGTGGGGCTGACGTCAGACCCCACAGTTCTGAGGGTACCATTGAGTCGAGTTGTCCCCCGAAATTGAAACCCTTGGTCAAGTCATCCCCTACTAGTTCTTACAAGTGTTATCTGTGCGGGTAATTTTCTTTTTCTTATTGCCAGTAGGTACATCAACCCTACGTAGAACTTTAAAGAGAAAGAAAACCAAGACAGAGACTCGCACATGTATTCATTCATTCATTCATTCACAATTTTCATTCGTTTAAATTTGACCATTTGTGTGTGCAAAAATTCCTACGCAGCTGGCGGCTTTTGACATCTATGGTGGCCAAGACGTGCCACACAAGATATATTTATTAAAAGGGCACGTCCTGGTGTGTGCCAATGTAACTGCACATTGCCATCTCCAGTTTATTTGAATGACTTTCTGAAATCAATGCGGACATGAATTTTAATTATTTGAATAACTAGGAACATCAGTCAACATTTTGACTAAGTTGTTTTAAGAGTGTATAGTGAACGAAATCTTGTGGGATTAAGTTGTATTTTGTAATAAAGGTCTTATAAAATGAAGTTACTGGTAATTGTTACTTATTGATCAATTAGGGTATAATTGGGGCTCCATATCAGTGGTGTGTGTGATCCCTCCAAGTCACCTACAGCCTTTGTCCCAGCGGCAAGGCTCCATGTGCACCGCCACTTGGCTGTACAGTGTCTGGAGCAAGTCCTACCAATGCCCCCCCCCTCAAATTACCCCAGTAAAAACTTAAAAAGTAGAAAAAAATACATTATAATTTAATTATTTATACGGGGGATGACTTGACTAGGGGACAAGTTGACCCAGGGATGAGTTGACTCAGGGACAACTTGACCCGGAAAGGACTTGACTCGGGGACAACATGACTCGGGACGACTTGACCAACATTTGTAACGCCAGAGATGCTGATGTTGGGCATGGCACAATCGGTCGATCTGCGGGATCTGTTGATCTTATGCACAATTTCCTGACACAGTTTTTCCATCAGCCAATTGCCTTTTCTTTCTACTTCACGGTTAAAGATTTTTTTAAAAAAAGAAGGAAATTTCACATGTTTCATGCAATATTGATAATCCTAGTTTCAGATTTTTCTAACTTCTTGATCACTTGAAATACAAATCTCTTTTGTGTTGTTCTTAGTTCTACAATCCAAGACAACTTTTGTTTGAATGTTGAAATGTAAGCTGCTTCTTGTACAAAATTTGTTCTCAGAAAATTTCTACAAAAGGAAATCAGCCAGATTTCTGATTTGCACTTCAACATTTTTTAACGATTTATCAAAAATCACGGGAGCCAAAAAATTGACAAAAATTACAGGGCGATGGGTCACGCACTTTCTTCGTGTGATTCCAAATACTTTTTTCATACTCGACAGTCGTACAAAGTTTCGCATCGAGTGTCTGTTCAATCAAAATGACTTTTAGAGTTTCTTTTTTTTTTAAATATGCCAGTGGAGTACTGACCACAATTTTCACAATCCAGAACTAGGAAAATGACTCTGCTAAGATGCCAGCATAAAGTGATCATGCTGATTGGCCGTTCATGCTACACACTCAGGTAAAGGCTGGGGTGTAATTCAGCCACACTATAGTGAGCCAAAAAGTTCGACCAGCTTTGTAGTTTCTGTATAAATTTCATCAAATTCCCTCCCAGGTGAAAGTATCAGCATTTACCCTGGCAGTAGGCTCTATGCTAGGCGTAGTTCGGTGTAGTACATTGTCAATGATTTTTTAGGGCCTCCTTGATCACATAGGCCATTTTCCAATACTCAAAGGTGGTCTCCGTCTCAGGCTTCATGTAGGAAACCAATCCCCGATTGTGGGCCGGAAGCGTTTAACTTAAATTGAAGTACTGTAATGTTTGGCTCTTTTGCATCTTACTTGATGTTTTGTGGCACTATCAGACTTACTATTGCGCTTACAACCTCAAAGTCAAGAAGTAAAAAACACAGTTGAAGCCTGAGACGGAGCCCAAGTCGAGTATTGGAAAACGGCCATAGCATCTCACTTTTGCAGACAGAGAGGTACCACGCCTGAACTGCAGCCATGTCCCTGGCCGATGAGCTCCTTGCAGACCTGGAGGAGATTGCGGAGGAAGGAGATGAAGTGGAGGCAGTCAACGATGACGACGGAGACATCGAAGACGTGGAGGAGATCAGTATGGACGTGGATACGAAAGTGGACTCCATCACATCCATTGCCAAGCTCAGACACAGCAAAGAGGTCAGGACCAAATTTCAGTGTGTGCTCAGGTTCTACTATGCCCCCCCTTGTTCCGTTGTCCCCGCCCCCTCCCCGGACTCATCCTTCCTGGGATCCGTGGTTATTATCGCATACTTTTAGCGTAGAATAGGGCCTGTTTGCAATAATAACTTGGGTTAAAATAAATGTCCCCTCGCCCTAAACTCTGCCAGGTCATTCAAAATCTTTCTGGAGGTTTGGGGATTTTTCACAGGATTGTGTAAGGTGGAATCCAGCCATTAATTTACACAGAGATTCGTGCTCCTTGGACATAAAAAAGTTATCACATTTAGGCTTCAGTACAGTCAGGGATTTTACAGAATTCGCAGAAGATTTTGAACGAAAGGCCCACAGATTTT